CTCTCAAAAATTTTAAAAATTTATTTGAATTACTTTTTAAAATTCTGACGCGGACATAATATCATTCTGGACGTGTATCGTAGGTTCCCGACTTTGTTTCTTCTCGAGAAAGATATTTGATTTGATGTGGGAAAACAAGTGGAAGTCGGGGCTGGACACCCTTATTTTGGCGAGAAACAGCCAAGCTGCGGGCTGTTGTCTTTCGCAGGGGTATATTTCACCGGCGGCTCGTATTCGATAGATTCCGGGGCCGTCACGCGAGATTCTGGGAAAAACCGTTTCGCGCGTCCGAAACCTCTTTAAAGTACAGTCCATGTGTGTGTATGTGTTAATAAAGGCCTGCGACGTAACCGATCGTTATTAGATCGGGCACTCCCTCGTCCCCGTCGCGCCTATCCGCTCTCATCCTCGCAATAACCCATAAAATGCAACATTTTGTTTCGTATGCCAATTATCCCCTCTACATCTATCCTGCAAGGGGATACATTGCTGCCTAGGCGGATATGGCACCAAAGAGACGCACGCTCGCACGTCTCGGCTTCTTCGATCATATCCTCGTTCAGGAAAACATTAAATTTTTTGAAAAAAATAAATTTCCGAAAGAAAGAATTTTTTGATATTTTATTCATATTATATTCGTATTTCTCGCGTTTAATTTTATCTCTGTGTGCAATGAGAGGTGCATCTTATCATTGTTGTTATTCGCCGGGAAACTTGCGCGCAGAGGGTGGTGTGCTTTTCATCATAAAATCTCACACGTGGGCGGAATCTCATATATGGCGATAATAATACATAGAGACGAATGGCTACTTTGCCTCGTTGAAGGTAGCGTGCGATGGCCATCGTCGCGCGGTACTACTTCGCTACCACTACTCGAGGAGACGAGCCGCGGCGTGGTGCGGCGCGACGGCGGCCGTTATAAAAATAACTGCTGATTGGACGCCCTACCAAGAAAAGTCGTAATCGCAATCCTGAAACGTTCTTTCTCCCCCTTTCCTTTCTCCTCTCTCTTTCTCTCGGTCCGTCCCTCTTCCTTTCTCTTATTTCCCCTTGTACTCTTTCTGCTCTCCTCTCTCTGTCTCTCTCACTGTTTCATCTTCCTCTTGGCAGTCGCTCCCGCTGTTTTACACGGTATATGTCCCACAATTTCATATCGAGAAGCGTAAGGAGGGTAGATTTGTAAATTCCCCAATTTCTCCATCTCCTTTCGATTTTATGGAAATTTAAAATGATTTTGACATTTGTTTTTTTTTTTTCCACTTCTTGAAGTAGATACATCTTTACTTTGAGAAAACGATGCGCGAATTTTATTAGAGTTTTTATACGAGGCCTTTTTAGTTCATGTAGGAAGTTGGTACACAGAACGCACCGCATCGATATAAGGGATGAGAGAGAACGGCGATCGGTCGCCATTTTGTGCAGCTTTTATCGCCGCGCCCTACGTAGGAGCATTAAGCGCGGGTTGCCGGGTTGCGCGTATATCAACAATAATTGCAGGGCCAATAATAAACCCGAAGGGAGCGCGCTCGATAGCCCGAAATTGCTGGTTCCCCTACCTCGGAGCGGCGCGGTTTTATTGCCTCCTCTCTCGTCGGTCAGGAATGGCGGGCAGAGGCCCCCTTCATCGTCCTCGATGGCGGATAAACGATCCTGCGATACGCGGCGCGCCTTCTCCCTTTCTCATTGTCCGTATTCGCGTACACGTGTATCTGTGTGCGTCGCGTATATTCGTATAACGCCGCGCGTTCGGCGAGACGTACGGAATCGTTCGCGAGCTCGTAAAGAGCCCGCAAAGCGGGCTCCGCACGCGCGATACTCGCGAGTATTGCCCTTGTTAACGCCCCGTTAACTCGAACAAACCTCTGGACAAACTCGTAAAATTCACCGACTCCGTGGAAAGCAACCGTCCGGGACGCCACGCGGCGAGAGAGAGTCGATCGAGCTTCGGGAGAGAAGCCGAAATGTCAAAATCAAATACGATGGAAAAAGGTGATGTTGAATTATCGATGCTGACATGTGATACAAATATAAGAATCCACATACATATATATCTTTATTCTCGCGAGATAAAATAATTACGATTTTAATATCCAGATATTGTTACCCCGATTGTTCTTGCCGTGCGAAACTATCTGCGATCTTCTTCTAGACACGCGTCGCCCGCGAATATTTATGCGCGACTCTAAACCTCAGATTACGCCAACTCGTAAAAGCCCGTTTACGTTTACGTACTTTAAAACGCGCGCTATAGTCGCGAGTACTGCTGCTCTTGTTAACACCCCGTTAACTCGTAGCTCGGGCAACCTCGTAAAATTCGACGATCCGACTACCATGGTAGGAGCTCCTCGTACACACGCGTGCGAATTAACCGGAGAATCTCTTCGTATTTGTATATATATGAATAACGCTTTCCGCTTTACGAGAAATATCTCTCGCGATATTACACACTCTTTTACTTATGACTTTGTATAGTAGCGAAGAATAGCGGAGATTAAATCGCCGTATTATCCCATGAATGCGCGTTCTTCTCCCCATTCAAATTTTAGCACACAATAAGCTCCGATATATCGAACAGATATTATCAAAAACAGAGATTGCGTTACCGCAATCTTTGTCAGAGTCGACAAAATACGATCGGTTGTTTACATCGTAGATATTTGTCTGACACGATTCGTAGACGAGAGGTCGTAAAAGACACGCGGGTTATTCGCCTGCGTCCGGCGATAATCTTCGATACAACTACGGTGATAATACGACCGTGTCTCTCGATGCCTCACCGGATTTTCCACTCCGCGCATTCTCATTCTCTACTCCCCTTAATCACTCTCTTCCTCTTTATTTGTTATATCGGAGCGATACTACCTAAGGAAGATCGTAAAAGACTACTTGCGTGATCGTTGCAAATTCATTATTGCTCTTGTTAACGCCCCGCGTCTGGATAAACCTCGTAAAATTCAGCAGTTTTACGCTCGTCGTGCCTTAAAATGCGATCGATCACGCAATGAATAAGAGATGCTAACTACTATAATACTTTATCTCATTTACTATCTGCTTCATCGATTTCGCGAAATTTTGAGATGTTTTTCAGGAATCTCTTTTCCACTCCGCGCATTCTCATTCTCTACTCCCCTTAATCACTCTCTTCCTCTTTATTTGTTATATCGGAGCGATACTCCCTAAGGAAGATCGTAAAAGACTACTTGCGTGATCGTTGCAAATTCATTATTGCTCTTGTTAACGCCCCGCGTCTGGATAAACCTCGTAAAATTCAGCAGTTTTACGCTCGTCGTGCCTTAAAATGCGATCGATCACGCAATGAATAAGAGATGCTACTACTATGATATTTTATCTCATTTACTATCTGCTTCATCGATTTCGCGAAATTTTGAGATGTTTTTCAGGAATCTCTTTAATATTAAAATCTATATTGACATTTTCAAGTATTAATTAATATTGTCACACATGTGTGATGTTAGAACAAAAGGGAGAGGGGGTAAAGATATCGCGAGACCGCGAGCCGACAGTGTTATTACTGTCGGCGAGGAGATAAAACAACTTAGGTGACGAGTTAGACAAGGAGGCGTGTGTGACGTACAGGTGCATCGTCTTAGGCAACGATCCCCCCGCGCGATCCTTCACGCGTAGGACACCTCGGGGCGGGTTGTGACAATCTGGAGAACCGTTGGCACGCGATATATATTCGTTTATATAATACCACATAGCATATCCAGCGCGCGGGCCGACGAAGATTTATTTGCCTTTCGCGCACTGTCTCGTTCCTCTCTCTCTCTCTTCCTCTCTCTTCCGGAGGGGGAAAAGAAGAGACGGACGTCTCTAAATAGAGATTCGTCGACGAGATTCGGAGACGACGACGACGCGAGGCATCCCGTTTATCCGCCTGGGGGTTAGTCTACGAAAGGAAGGAGGAGGACGCGAAAATGCCTGCGAACCGGAGAGGAGAGAAGGGAGGAGACGAAGAGAATGGAGCCGACGCATTATAAGTAGTGCGGGCTAATATGAATTACACGGACGCGATGCTCCCCGCTATAGGGTAAAGGGGGATGGCTCGTGAAAATAACTCCGCGCTTTGTACGCGACAGAACGTCGGCGTCGCGTCGCCTCGCACGCATCCATCATTCCGGCAACCGGCTATCTTTCCTCGACAACGATATGCGTACATGCGCGATGAGAGAATGCGATTTCGGCCCCAAACGAATATTTCTCGCGAGAGAAAGCCTTTATCCGGCAAAAGAAGCGACGCATCGATTAATTCGAACTCTATTAGCTTTTTTAATTATCTCTCTCCATCTCTTTCTCCGGAGATATTAGATTTAGATATATCGTTCTAGACAGAATTCTACGTCTTTAAAACGAGAATGTTAATTTCGAGATCTCTTTATAAGCGAAGCGAACGGTAATACTGGATTTCCGCGCGCAAAGATGTAATTTATTTATCTACCGAATTGCTAAGAGCGAATTTGATTATCGGCCAAAGGAGGGTTCCGCCAACTCGTCCGGACACTTATCGTAAAGTGAGCGGTGATGCGGAGGCGGGTCCAGACCAAAGAGCTAGTTTCGTCCGCGGTCCGCCAGACAATCGTAAAAACCGAAACAATGCCCGCGCGGATTTATAAGCGGTCTGTGTAACGAAAATATGCGTACGCCCGCCTTGAATGTTCAACGTAGCGTAAAGTTCGTTTAGACGGCTAACTCGTATATAATGATAAAGATATAATTTAATTCGAAACACACAATTCGCGTTTTATGAGATTTAAATTTAAATATATCAAGTACAATTTTTTTTTATGGATCGGATAATTTTAAATATAATTAATTTAGATTTCGCCGGTATAATTATACTCACACCTGTCTGCTTTCCTTCCCCCTTCTCACGTAACGAAACATTTTCATCGGCATTGATCTCGCTAATTCTAAAGATTTAATATTGTAATTAATATGGCTGATTATTTATTTATGTTTTGTTTTTCCGAATTTTGTATAAACACACGGTATGCACGTGCTTAATCATGTTTTTGCCGACAGGTATATGAAATATTTGTACCCGTATGAACAACAAAAGGAAAATCTCTCGACCCAGGAGCAACTGCAGACGGCGATCGAGACGAATCGTCGCGAGAGCCGCAGAAGCAATTACACCACTTACGCTACTAACAACGAAAATATGGTAGCGCGAAATCAACATAATTCGCTGCCATCGAATGCGTTGGCACTGCCGATGCCACTTAGCATGGCCCAAATGGATCTCCATGGATCGCAATCGGCGTTCGTAAACGGACACCCGCAGCATCATTCTCATAACTCGCAGCATGTTCCGCCGAACCTAGGACAAGTATCCAATCGTAAGTTTCTTTTCCTTGTTTACCTCTCTCTTTCAAGAAACAACTCTTTTCTCGCAAACGTATTAGGAATATTAAAAATCGCGAATGCCATCTCACTAACATAAAATAACAACCCGATAATGGAAAATAGAAAGAAGAGAGAGAGCGAAAATGAAAAACCGTCCGATGGTATACGAAAGATCGACGGGACGAAATGAAAAAAACGGAAACGGGAGGAGATAGAGTATGGGAGGGTTTATTTTAAATCGGTAGGTAGTGCGCTTCGGGCCTCCCCGGAGATGATGATGCGAGAGAGCGAAGGAGGCGTAATTGATTGTACGATCCTCCGGAAGACAGGCGTTAACGGATGACTCTCGCTAACGAGCATTCCTATTTCCCTACCCTTTCCTCTTCTCTCTCTTTCCACCTCGCCGCCTGGGCTCGACAGCGATCTGGGGATAACGTCGGGGGCTTCGATCGCCCTTCAAGACGTAGCTCCTCCCGTCTTCGATCGCTTCCTTGTTCGGCGAACTTTCCTCCGGTGATATTGTTACTTGCCTGTAAAAATGACAAAGGTTATTGAAGAATATTGATGACTGTTCAGAGATCGAGATATCGTACAATTTTGGGACATACAACGGATATCTGCTATTGCGTTTTAATATAACACGTGTTTGTAAGTTTGTAAACGCGAGTTTGTAAACAAACACAGAAGCTCGTGGACGTGATTTTAACGAATATTGACGCGCACGTCGACAGAATTCATTTGCCTATTGAATTCTGAGCTACTGACAAAATGGCGATTTAAGCAAACAAGTTCTCGATCGTTTTATGCAGCTCATACAGATGTCCGATGGAGCAGTGCCAATAAGCGAATTTCAACGTCTATCTATCTCTCTTTCTTTCCCTCTTTCGCTGCTTTAATTTAATAGATGCTGTTAGACTGTCAGTAAAAAAAAATTTTTGATATTCAACGGTCGTTGTTTGTATATATAAAGCGTGTAGGAATAATACCGAAATTAATGCCAGATTAATCTATGATATTTCAAATTCTTCACGAATATTTATGTAAATCAAAGGTTCACTGAATCTTTTACGTTACTGTAATACTTGCAACGCTATTGGAGAAATAGCAATTTTAAATTCAAAAAAAGTTGTAAATTAATTAATTTTACAATAATACATTTATTCTCTCTATCTCAAAATAATTATTCTCTATAATTGTACAAAACATTTCGGTGTTTTTTAAACATGCTGTATAAGTAAGGTATATAGATCTACGAAGAATCCAAAGAATGTAATTGTCGAGAACGCGTTCGGTAAAGGAACTAATTTTCTACCTCCCCATATCTCTACTTTCTAATTTAATTGCCGTAAATCGCAATTCTAATATATTGTATTTATATAGTTTCAGAATACATGATGAAGATGCTGAGAGATAGAAATACGATTACCAGTAACTCGATAATTCCACAACAGACTGGCAATTCACCACCGACGACGGAAGCACTTAACGCAATTGAATTGTCCAAACTGACTCTATGGAATATATATAACCAAAATAATAACAAAATTTATTCAGCTCAACAATCCTTCCCTTCGTCAACGTCCCACTCGCCATTAGTGCCGGCAACTAGCCCGGAACCGCAAAGGGAAGCCCTGGACCTTGCAAACTCTGCACATAGGTAAACAGAGATTGAGTACATCTCTCGCTTTTAAATAATATGGAGAAGAGTATTTATTTTTTAATGACAAAAAAATATTTTCCAATTAGGTCAGATCCGATATCCTCTCCAAGCGCTAGTAGATCTATTAGTTCACCACAGTCTGGTAACATGAAAAGAGATCAAGATGCTACGGATCTTTCACCTCCAACGTCTAGCAAAAGAATATGTTCCGATGAGGAAAATTTACCCGATAGGGGTAGTAGTATGCGCATTACGCAGATGGTCACCATACGAGGTGAGTTAACTACTTAATATAAAATTTATTACATCTTTAAAATTTATACTACTAAATTCATCATGATACAGATATACATATTATAATTAGTTAAATGTTCGTTTTTTTTTTTTGCTAAGATCAATTCTATGAAATAGAATTTTCGTTTACGAAAAAATAAATCTTAGCTTACAAATTAAACGTACATTATTTGAAAAGAGATTATTTATTTATTAAATAATCTCTTTTTTTCTCAGAGAGTGGACGAAGGGAACTAGCAATTAGCGTGGACCTCGATGGTATATTATACGAAGGCATTTTACCAGCTAAAAACGACGACGCCAGCAGTTCATGAAATAGCGAATCGTAAACGCTTAGGAGACACTAAGTACTTAATTAGATTCTCTCGTGGCCGATTCATGCGGAACAAATCAGCCATGAGAATCTATTGTAATATAAAAAAAAAACGTTCCAACGTTGGTGCACCGCTTAAATCTCTTGGGAGCGATAATATCCAAAAGAGAAAATGTACCGACGAAGAACTATTGTGGAATTATTCACTATTTCAATCATGTTTACAATCTGTTGGGCAACACCGACATACATGAAGCTTATCAAGAATCGTCCAGACTCTTCATGTATTCAGACAATGCAATAATCTCCTATCTTTTTATCGGTGATTTTTTAAATATAACTTTGTGTGTTATGTGATTTTTTTCCAGGATGAATGTCCCGAATGCCCAAAAGACGATATCGTTCCGCTCAGAAACTTATAGTACTGGATAATTCCATAATAGTTTTATTGATAATTTGTAGAAATAAGAATATTTGTAAAAAAAAAGCGAGAAAAAATAAACTGTGTAATTATTTGTACATAATTGATAAACGAAAGATTAAATAAACTGAATTACACAGACTCCTACTTTTATTTTTATTTTTACTTTTATTTTATTATTATTATTGTATCACGGTATGCAATATATATGCAATATACTATAATGATATATCGATCCTTTAATCTCGTACTACATTCATTGAATTATGACAGCATTAGAAATGTGAAATAGCGATTTTTTACGAGTTATGGAAATAAATTAATTTTTTCGTGCATATTATTCGTGCATTTGATATATATAGAATGTCTATAAAATATATCAAATATTTTTCAGTTTCTACATTCTAGATTAATAAATATATATATAGTTACAAATCGCTTATTATAAAGTTTGCTTTCGCCAGAAATAAAAATGAGATCCATGAGATTGAATTATATGTTCGTTTACTAATGCAGAATAATTAAAAAAAACGAAGTTTTGATATACTTTATCAATCTGTACTATCAAACGCAAGTGATAATAAACGAATAAAATTAATGTTATTTGCAAGAGAAAAGTTTACATTTCTCACTTCTAATAACATGCGTCATAATACAATAATTATAGAGAAAAAAAGAATAGTTTAAAATTAATAAATTTATAATGTGATATTAGATACAGATTGATAAATATAACAACTATAAGTGTATATATGAGTATTATTATAAATGATCAAAGAGATTTTTGTGAATAACATACATACATTTTTTCAACGTATTTTGTTTTTATATATAATAAATGTAAAACGAAAAATGTCCTAAGATGTCTTTTTAAATTTTTCGTTTTTTTAATTGTTTGTCATTGCGAAACATCTTTTGGACACTCGATGTTTTTGTCTATAGAATAAGATATATTATTTAAAAAAAAATGTGCATATTCTCTTATTCAGATAATACTGCAATTTAAATTATTCATCTCATGATAATAATAGAATTTTATCATCGAAGTATGTGTAATCAGGATATATAATTACATAACACATAATGTAATCGTTTTTATTCTCTTTTTAAATTAAATTCTATAATAAATCAAACTCTAAATGTATAAATTGAGAAAACTGAATGCACATGTCCAATTCGGCATAGCTTTATAAAAATCAAGTAATTCAGATAAAAATAATGATATATATAATTATTGACATTAAATTACATTTCGTAAATTGCTATCATTTTGAGATTTATTATAGAAGATATTAAATATTGTGAATATTTTAATTGTTATGCTTGATTATAGTTTTTGTTTCTCTCTATTGCTATTATTTTAAATATATCCTAATTTATATTTTTTTCGTATACAAAAATCTGATTATTATGTTAAAAAAGAAAATAGAAATATATCGCTAAAGTTATCGGAGTTAAAGTTGTTATAATCAAATTTTTTTAAATAATAACATCTAAAGTATGTTGCTAAAGTTATTGGAATTAAAATTGGTAAAAAAATTAAATTTTTTTGAAATAATGACACTAGCGATATCTTTTAAATATATGTTTAATATTTTCTAAAATGATTAAAAGCACTTAATCAAATATATTTATGACTATATCAATCACAAATGAAAAATGAGATTCGAATATATAATCAGATAATTAAGTTTTAAGAGAGTGATTTATAAATGTTTGTATATTAAATCATCAAAACTTATATTTATAATGACGGTATTTTCCAACTGAAGTTTGACATCTTTAATCTAATGACATTATCTTCCAACATATTATCTGCCAATTTTATCCGATTAACAAGTGAGAAAATATCAGTCAGTCTCAAAATTTTGATTATCTTACCAAGTAGAATTGACGTGATCATTATTATTAATTTATCTTGAAATTAAAGGATATTTTTGATGTTCTCATTGTTTCATATATATTCATGAGAAATTTCAAAAAGAAACATACATTGAAATAATATTTGGTAATTACCGCAAAAATTGTGAAATCGATTATGTTTAGCAAGATTTTGTATAAGGCACATACAATATTAATTTTTTAATTCGGTTAACATATATATATCCATATCATTGCAGATCTGAATATAGAAAATATATAATGGATTTAGAGTGATATATATATATATATGTGTATATATAAAAATTTGTACGTATGTATGTTGGAAATGTGTACTACCAGCATGAAAAATAATATTACATGAAATTTTTCAAAACATAAAACCCAATGCAAAATATGGATATACATAGATACACATGAGTATTATGTTTCATATATGATATCAAGTATCTTATAAAAAATAGCCATAAAGATCTATATGTAATATTTGCTAATATATATAATACAGTCTCTTAGTCATAATCATATAACCGTGAGCTCTACTTAGCAATGATAAGATACCAGAATCTAAAATAATGACGAAACAATAGCGAAAATCGAATAAGTTTAAGAACTCAAATACAAAAATAGAATATTATTTCCTGAAACTCGATATATGATACTGCAGTGAATAAATTCTGAAAAATACCTACATTTTATATATGAGATAAAGTTTTACCAAAAAAATTGTATAGATTAGATTAAATATTAGCTTTTAAAATTTTAAGTTATGTTAAATTAATAATTAATAATTATGTTTTTATAAGTTTTATGCTTTTTTAAACTGTATTAAGTTATGATTATATTAGCATCGTACTTTTTGTATTAATTTTAATTATAAGGGGAGTTTCCATAACTCGGGCTATAGTATGAGTCAAATTATTTATACAAAGCATATTTTCCTTTATATAATTATTATATTATATATAAATATATATTATAATATATGCATACAGAAAAAAATGTGAAATATTTTTTATTTTTTTATGAAAACACTTTGACTTTATTATTCATATTCAAGTATATGATATATTTGAAATAGAAAATTAAATATCACTCTTTATATGTGCACTGCTGCAGAGATCAATCAATTTTCCCATAACACGCTTCTGTTTTCTGTCAATCTTATATTCTGCTATTTTGGTTGTTGCTCAGTCTAATAAATCTTAGCTATGGATGATTTTAATATCTCATTATCTTAGATATATCTGAAGAGTCAACATAGTTAAAAAGAATTGTCTTTAACGGAACTAAGCAGAGTTAGTTGGATTTTAATATTAACATGTTCACAATTCGAAAAGAGAGAAATCTTCATTTTGTTTCTCTCTCTCCATTCTGCCAAGCCTGTTATATTATGGGAGATCTCTAAATCTAGGTTTATAATATAGAGAGAAACAAAACTACTCTAAATATAAATATCAAATATTTATTCCTATTCAAAATACGTTAGGTACTTGCTACTACCTGAGAAGAAAATGTAGTTACAAAAAATATCTTTTGTATATAAAAATATTATAAATAAATAAATATATATATATATCAATAATAATATTGTCATTACATATTATATAGTATAACATCTATTACTATAAATTGTTACAATGTGATAACAAATAATAATTAAATCACGAAATAACATTGAATCAAATCTTTGTTATTCTTCGTTTTATTTTATCGAGACTCAACGTATGTGTAAATTATTTATAAAAAAAGTTAGGGGACATTAACTGTCTGTAATATTATTGAAGCATCAATGATGAGATGCTCGTAATTGTGTTTTTAGTACCAAGAAAGTTTTAATTCATAGTTTTTGATATAAAATTGTGAAATGCACAATAGAAAAACTAGCAAATAAATACTTTTAAGAATATGATAAGAAATTATATTAAGATCATGAAAAAGCGCGCTAAGCGATTGTTAAGGATATACTATGCGGCGATGTATCCAGTTTCTAGTTATTATTGATTCTTCAATCATTGCAAAAGACATATTATACTTATAGGTACATTATTCGAATAACTATCATAAATATTGTAAATATATAATATGGAGAGAAACAAGATGGCATACTAATAATGTTAAACGAATATATAGTCTTCATATATAAATAAAAAATTAATTATTGTATGTGAATGTATGTAAACACATACAATAGCCGACATTATGAATAAAATTGATGTTACTTTTATATGTATCATCTTGAATATCAGAATAGATGCATTGCATCTCTTTCTTTTTATTAGAAATGTTCTTATTTTAACTGAGAAACTGTCTAAATGTCTCTAAAATATTAATAAAAGAAATACACACATATACAGACACACAGGCACGCATGCGCAGATAATAAAAAAGCATTTGATGTCAGTTAAAACCAAAGCAAAATAAAAAGAACATACTAAATATGAAAACTCTCAATTATCGACGATAAACTTTCTTTTTCTTTTGCATTTGCAAAACTGTATTGCACAGATAACATAGACAATTTTTTAAGCTGTTCTTTTCCGATATTAAAAACAGAGCTTAATAACTGCAATTCCTCTGACAAACATGTGTTGAAAACACCTTTGTCATCGGTCTAAAAAAAATAATGTATGTAATGTTATTGAATTCTCAGGATGTCTTAAACTCTTTTCCATACTCACTCCAATTGTTATAGGATGTCCAGCTTCGTATAAATATTTAAACTGATGAGATGCATAGGATGGTACTGTTTTACATTTCACATTTGACGTCAAGCATAACTCTAAACAAAAAAAAAAAAACACAAAAAAAAAAGAACAAATACTACTGATATCCATGAAAAAAAAAATTATATATATATATGTATAAAAAAATTATAGATTATAATGTAATGTTATCAAAGATCTCTTACCAACAGGAATTTTGGATTCCAATAACATATCAAACAATTGCTGAGAACCTTGCAAGCTAGGATGGATGCAAGTGCAATGTCCCAATCGATTGGGTTTAAATTTTAATATATCATCTATTTCCATTTCATTTGGTACCTATGTATATACATTGTGCATATTATTATATCTATCAATATATGAAGAGATTAATGTATAATTATTATTCACCTCTGCACAATGAGCTGCAATTTTAAGTCCTGCTTTTCTAGACATTTCTAATAATTCTAAAAATGAATAGCTCACAGCTGGATCACCGCTAAGATCGATACCAACAATGTATTCTGGGTATCTCTTCATAAACTCTATCGCAAGATTAATATTTTCTTTTGCAGATTCATAACCTTGTTTCCTATTAATAGATATTAATAGTTTTACAAGAATCTGTGGAAACTGCGATTTGGATGTTCTGTGAATAATATATATCAGACATCAATTTATTAATTTTGCTTCCAGAAAAAAAATCAAAAATATGCCATATAGAAATAGAAATTTAAATTAAGATCTATTATATATGAGCTTTAGTATATATTATGAGATTAGTATACTTATTTACTCGAAAGCTTTTATTATTGCCTCAAGATATTCTGTTTTCGTCATTGAGTCCTTTACAGCACGAGGTGTGCTTCTCAATTCTAAATAAATCACATTGTCCTCGTGAAATTCTTTTATCACATCGCAAGTAGCAATAAATACAGCCTGTGGTGTAATTGTTAGCGCATGTGCTATATCAAATACTTTAAAACATCTGGAAAACAGATATTATTTTTATGTTCTGTTAACATATTATTTATCAAACAAATTACATTAAAATTACAAGATAAGTATAATAATGAGAAATATTCATACTCGCTTAAGGATGAGAAATTAGTGGTATTCATAAAAGCTTGATCACATAGAGCAACATCTGAATCTTGCATTTTGTATAATTTTTGCAGGGTATTCATACTTAATGAACCATTTAAATGTGCATGAAGTTCCTAATAAACGACATTATTTAACTTCAATATATCAAAATATAAAACTATATAAAATATAAAGGAAATCTTTTTCTGTAATTTTAGCGTCGCTTAAACTTGAAGAGAAAAGCGTACCACTTTAGGTAATCTTCGACAGAAATCCTGCATATCCATTATAATGAAACGTTTTCCAATATCTTTTTTCCTCGTACACAACTTTTTAAAAATATTCTATAGTTCTATAAAAGACCAATATTTTCCCGCTACATAAACAACTACAAATCATTCGTATCGCCTCGTACTTTATTACGTTAAAGCTCGTATTAGATTACGCATTGAAAATTGAAGATTGGAGTTTGACTAATCAAAATAAAAGGAACTAAAATTTCTTTGTCCTGATTGGTCAAACTTCAATCTTCAATTTTCAATCTATGGCTGTATCTATATTCAATATATCTATGGCCGAGAGAAACGCACGAATGCGCATGCGCAAAAAGTACAGATAGTTCATCTACAAAGAACAGACAAAATAATTTGTGCTGATCAGGGTATTGTCAAAGTAGGATCAGTACTATCTATCAGTAGGCATTTTGTAATAATGTAAAAAAAAGCATAAAAGACAAGTTCCTGTGATTTAAACAATAATATAAATCATAATTAGATATTGCATTTTTCTTTTTTTTTTCTATAAAGGATTTAATTTAAAATGGCTAGTCATTTTGGGGAAGTAATATTTCCATCATCACGAGCATTTTGGGATGACGAAGACGAATATGAACCAGATGAGAACTTAGAACATTGTCCGTAAGTTTAAATTATGATGCAGACGTATTATTACATAATTGCTGATTATACTTGAGTTTTTGTTATTATTATTGCAAGATAAAATAATACAAAACAATCGGTTTTAGGAAATTACGTGTTAGCTGGTTAAAAAATAAGCCAGAACATATACAAAAATTCATCATAATAGAGGGAGATCCATTAATTCGTAATAATCTCTTTTGAAATATTAGCAATATTTCCTATTGACATGCTTTTAATTAAACTAATTGATGTTTTAGCTTTTGTAAAACAATGTTTATGTCGTAATGCAGAAGAAGTATGCATCATTGAAAATGAAAATCAAAAGAAAGTTTCTGTCATTTATCACATTGATAAACAAATATATTTGTGTATAATTTTACCACAATTTAATACAAAAGATGCAGGGACATTTGTAAACCAGGTAAATTGTTAACTATAATATTCATCTATATTATTTTTTAATATATATTTTAATACTAAAGAATGTGTATCTACATTTTTATAGATATCTGACTTATTATTAACCACAGAGAGCACAATTTCAATAGTGTGCCGTCATGTATCACAGTTTCAGAGTACAGATGTTCCAGAAATTCCATCATTTTTAAGAATGTTGGCTACCAAAAATGCAGATGTTTCCAAGTATAAAATTGAACCATTAGAACAACCAAATATTATATTTGGAGTTGGCGCAGGAGGTTGGTATTTACATAGTATTTACCTAGAGTATATACATAAAATATATATTAGATGTAAAGGACATTCTATGTAAGTTGATGAAATTTGTTATCTGTTTGTTTCAGTTTTGTCTTATGCTGAACTTACAGGCATATCAGCCAAATTATATGTACTATATATCGACAATTTTGTACTGGATTCCAAGTCTGCAGAACCGCTTTTACAAATTTTAACTAATGAAATAGATTGTAAATTACAGCTTCCCAAACTTACAGAAAATTTCTTTAGTAAAGGAAATCTTTACATGTAAAATGTTCTATTTTGTCATCCTTTCCTGTACATAATTTTTAAACTAATTAGATATAAATCGAATATTAATTCTCTTTGATATATATCGATGACAAACAAAAGAAATTATAAAGGAAACAGTTTTGTTCACAGTAGAAAAAAAGTTTATAAGTACATATGTGTAATAACAGTAAATATAAAAGTACAACATATATACAAAATTTACAATTAAACTAATAATATATTCTGCCACTTCTTTTTTTGCCATTAATTAAAATAATAATATTCAAGTCGATACAATTTTTATTGAATGCATAATATATTGCCTTTTGTTATGGCTGCGGCGGATAATAGCTGCGTGGTGGTGCGGTAGGTGGAATTGGATTATTCGCTGGGAAATATGACGCGTTTGTTGGATAGGAATATGGTTGAAAACCAGTTTGATTAGCAGCCGGTGCGGGTGGTGGCGTAGGACGAATGGGAGCGGAGGATCCAATGTGATGCATTGTTGGTACAATATGATTCATTGTATTCACAGGAGGAGGTGGAACTGAAACGTTTGCAGGTGGAAATGCCGGCGGATAACTTGTATTATTAGATGGAGCGAAATTCGTTGGATATGTAGGAAAATGTGTTGTTGAAGTATCTATTGGTTTTATCGTATCCACGATGTCTGTGGTTGGACATCCGTTTGCAGAGATCACTGGTGTTTCTATCTTAGAAGACTTTCCAGGCGTCACTATAGTACAGTCGTCAATCATTTATTAATTTTTAAATATGCGCTAATGCACATTACATACTTTTACCAACTTGACTAAACATATTTACTACTTACCATTTGGTGTATTAGATGCAGATTCTATAGCAGTAGTAGTAACAGGTCGTTCTCTACACACCTCGCTAGATGGTATCATGGGTGGCGAATCTGGTGGTTTTGTGTTATTAGCTTGTGAATATAAATCCAAAACTTGATGACAAATATCTAGAAATATACAACATATTAAACTATATAATTTTAGTAATAACGACAAAATACTTTAAAATCAAAATTTTATAAATCTACCTTCTAAAAGATCCATAGTTACATCTTCAACAAACATATCCCACCAGCGTAAATGCTTGGACTGTCTTCCAACCCAGTCCACCACTTCAAACTTACTTAGCTTTCCTGCCAAGTACATTAGAGCAACAGCTATTATTTCTGGTTCCCATTGTAACGACAGAGTGGTACATAAACTATAAGAGAATATAAATCATTCTTATCATGTCAAATATTAGAATACCGAATAATAATTCATTATAAAATTATTATATACCTATCATTAACAAATGTCCAAGCCATTTGAACCATCTTTTGCAGTTTGTTTTTATCACCTACATAAGAAGAAAAAATTGTTTTAGAAATATCCGCAAATTTCAATTTCATTAGCAGAATCTATTGCTAATGTGTTCCGTACAATTTTATAATATACACAATATATAGATTACCTTTAAGACACTTGGCATATTTCAATAAATAGCTATATGGGTGTTCAACTTGCAGATCAAATTTAATAGTTTGCAACAAAATTCTTTCCAAAGTTAAGACTTCTTCCTGTCAATAATAATTAAATATTTATATACTTTTGCTGATAGAATACAGTATTTTTTTTTACGATAAATAACTTACTTTAGGATCTTCTCCAAATGTCATAAACTTTTGTTCGGACACTAAAGTCTTAGCCGTTCGTATAATATCCTTACATTTTTTTGGCGTTTCTTCAACTTTGCCAGCTAAGAGTAAACAGCAACAAGCTGTTACCTATATACCGCAGTAATACAATTAGTACACGATACAATTTAAGATTGTTCACATATATATATATATATATATATATGTCACTTGCAAATGTACTTACATATCGTGGAAAGTTTTTAAATGAATGAAACATGTAGAATCGGTGGAAATAAACGACACCCGTTGCCATTGTATTATAACCTAAATCCATTTTTGTACCAGTGTCAATTATGAAACGTGCACCTTCTTTTCGATATCTACATTCTGTCTCGTAATCGATACCATCCTGAATAGACGGTGTATTGCGTAGCTCCTTCTTTTCATAGTACCAGCACGGCATGATTAAATCACTTCCAATGTAGGAGACTTCAATGTATATTAATAGCAGAGAGAAACCTGAGAGGGGCCACGCCGCCGTTTTTCCTGTAACGCTTTCTCTAGTTAATAAGCATATATCCATTATTAATTAGAAATTAAAATCTAAATAGTTATATTTGAATTTTTTTTATATACGTATAGTTAATATTATTATTAACTATTCGATATTTTACATTTTGTATTATGTGCGTAATACGCATACGTTTATCTTCTTGGTGCCTATATTATAATTATGGTTCTTTATTGGGTGAGTTTAAAAAGTGAGCGCGATTCAATAATAGATTACCCAGTAAATGCTAGATATTCCTGAAATATTCCATTCGTATTCCAAAAGTTCCGTATATACCGAAATAGTAGAGAAATGTTCACAGAACGTTCAAATAATCGTGAAATATTCAGAATATTCTATGAACACTACTTGTATGAGCAATAAGGAATATTCAGTGTACATTTTGATATATGTATGGAACATACACAAAATATTCCATAGAATATTAATGGAACCCTCTTGGATCAATCTTATCGGACATTAATGAAAACCGACGTACGCACGCATCTCATTACCTGCGCGCGCAGCGACTACGTCTGTGATTGGCTGACTCTTGCGTTCACGCGTGCGTAAGCCCATATTGCATGCATATCAGGAACTGATTGACTGAGCATGTGCATGTGAGAGGAATTGATGCCGATATTGCCGGTATTGCCGGTATTATTTGCGTTTCGTATTCAGTGTCGAGGTCGTAGGCCGTACAATTAAGAAAAAGAAGAAGAGTCTTAACTACAGGGCGAGACGGATGTCTCGTGGCATCTTTTGTATACTGAACGCAGCCATTACGTGACTATTACACGTTATTTGTCTGTACGGTGGTTCGTACCTTGAAGAAGTATCAAATTTATTTTATATTGTCTTATATTTATAATCTTTGAATAAATGAATCATATTCATAAATGAATACCATCTAAATAATTTATAAAACCCTTTCTTAAAATAATCTTTACTGTATAATATATCACTCTGAATATATGATGGAATATACATGGGATATGTTCCGAATGTTTTTCAAGCATGTCCTGAGAATATTTTTGGAATATTCAAAATATGGATAAAAAATGGAACATTTCGCGCTTATCTGAATATTCCTTGTACATTCTGTAAATATTCCGGAATGTTTTGGAATATTCTTCGGATGTTAATTTTGGATCATAGGAACATTTTATAAATATTCCAGGAATATCTAGCGTTTACTGGGACAGAACGCAATCTTAATTTATATTTAAATTTTAGAATTTGTTCCTTTTAACGTATGAAAAATATCCCTAACATATCCTATAGAAATCCTTAAGATGTTCCACAGGATCTCCCTGGATTCTCCAGAGGCTAGTCTACGGCTAT